AGGAAGGGAGGGGTGAGAGGGTAAAAGGCCACAACCAGATCCCAAATGCTGGGGCCGCAACCCCCGGAGGCCTGCCAGCGCCCGCTTGCCCACAGCTGGGGACCAAGACAACACACACTCAGGCTTGACCTTGAAATAACACCGACATAGACGGCATGTGTGCATTCCCTCTTGATGACTGACATGACGGTAAAATGTGATGAATTAGTGAGGTTGTCAGTAATGGATGGATTAGGCTGTGTGAAAACAAAAGGAAACATGTTTCATTATACTGGTGCCACTGAGCACCTTCACTTCACTGCAACAGATTAAATCAACGAATGAGTTCATACAATGGCCGTTACATGTTGGGGCCTCAAACTACGTGCTTACAAATAGATTATTCTTTGTCAGAATTTTACTATTCCATGCCAAATGAGCTCTGCTTTCTGCTTTGCTTTGGAGAAAGCAGGATAAGTGTTGTAAAGGTCAGCTGGAGAGTAATCAAATCATCCTCCACAATGTTCTTTCTGCAAATCCACAGCCATGCCCCCTGATATCTACCTCTGGTGCTGTGCTGGTGATTCGAGTCAATTAGAGGTGTGCTTGTGAATTTCGTTAGTGTTTGGATGAAATGAAGAAAGCTGTCAGTCAAAAGGCCACTCTGGCTTTGTATCTGGGGGGCTGCAAGGGCTCTAAACCGGTATTTGTATGAATAAAAATGAAGGGATTTAGGAGAAGACCGTTTCTTCTGCAGACTTGTCAAAAAGCTGACCTTCGCTGCAGCAGAGGGGGTTGATGGGAGAGGAGGGTCGAAGGAAAGAATGGAAGCTTTTTGAAAAAAGCTGAGGCTCAGTGACTCCTGGATAAAAAGGTGCAACTGAAAAAAGAAATAGGTGAGCAGGAGAGGAAATAAAATGTATGTCATACTGAAAGGCGGTTCTCCAGGCTCTCTACTCTCTGAGGTATAGCCCAGCAGTGGAATAAAGCTCAGAATTATTCAACAAGAGATTGAGACAGATTTGTCTGTGTGATGACAATCCTGTACGGGAGAGACCTCCTGTCAATGTCACGTAAGAGGCAAAGACTCAATCTGCGGCTCAAAACAATGTGGCAGATGTTAGCACACCAAACACAATAATACTCTGTATTTCTGGCTTCTTTTATTTGCTAGGTGATAATGGGAGTTCACGCTATGCAAAGACAAATCAAATCTGTCACTATCAGATGCTTGTTTTAAATTCCAGTGTAGTGCCTGGATCAGACCTAGCTGCTCATGTCATCAGCTAACTATTCATTACTCATGAGGTCACATCACACCACAAGGCTTCTTAGATTTAGGTGAGCAAAATAATAATAATAATCAAACTAATATGAAATTATGAACAGTATATAGACACAACATATGGACTTAAGTAACAAAGTGTAATTATTGATCAATCGTGTTGTCTATGGGTTTAATGGTACGCACAAAAGGTCAGATACCTAGCTTCATTTAGTGGTGTACATTTTTAAGAGTTCTTGTCATTCCTCGTTTGGAAAGTTTGAGTGTAAAAATTGTGACACTCAAACTTTGTGATGTATGGTCAGCTAAAAAAAAAAAAAAAAAAAAAAACAGGACAAAAGGAGGACCAGCTTCGGAGACAGACCGTCCCGCTGGAGCAACTCAGATTCAGTCAGAGCTAACCCTAGAGCTAAATCTCCTAGCGGTGGGGAGCAGGGACCCATCCTGCCAGCACACTATTTCTCTCATTCTCTGTAACCAGTGTAACCAAAACAAGGTGGAATCAGCAAGCCAACGTTAGCTAGCTCACTAGCCAGCCGCTAAATGAGTCAAATTAAAAGACTTAACGCTTCATCTACACACTGTTGTCACAGCGTAGAAAAGCACATTGCTATCACCAGATAAGTCATTTATACTGATTCAGCAGATGTTTCAATGTGCTAATAGTGCATTTAAAGTCCACAGAAAGGAGAGAGCAGCCTTGTGCTGTTGTGATTGTAATGCTACACAGTGGTTACAGAAAAAGTCAAAATAACAGATGCAGTGGGGAGAGGGCTTCAACATTCTTTTATTTCATTACGTAGACTCTCAGAATTGGCCTTGAAGATTAGGACTGATTTAAAACAATAGACGGCATTTTAAGCCATATTCAACCATGAAAAACAGATTTTTTTTTATGAATTGGTTAAGAAATGTCAATATTAACACCAGCATTGATGTGTTTCATCAAAGTACAGTCATATTGTTTAGCTTACATCTTAAAGAGCACATTTAGTTTAGCAGTTACTCTTTAAAGACATGGGGAAAGCACTCAATTCTCTGGGTCTAATGAGGTTAGGGATGGGGCATTAGATATCAGGCTCCATCCAAACTGTCCTGTTTAAATCAAAGGAAAAGCACCTGCTTCCTGGGACCGATTACCCCGACTGACTGAACAAGGTGGAGCTGAAGCATCACAACACATGGCCCACCGTCGGCCCAGCTTCTTCAACTGTGCTCTCATTGTTCAGGAGTCCAGAGCGGAGGACCTTACATTTTTTCCTGCTTCCAGAAAAGAGAGACAAGACTTCCTTTCCCAGAACAATTTATCTCTTTGCTTGACAGGACTCCCCGCTATATTTACCCAACTAAAATTGCAGATGATATACTTCCAGCTGCACTACTCTCCAGATCTGTGGCACATGGTCCTGTCAATCACAGTAGTTACAACAGAACAGGAGCGCCAGCACAGTGAGAGCCTCAGCTAGACAGAGAGCGACAGAGGAATATGGAGAGAAGAAATAAGAGGAGAGAGACAGACGGACTGGGAAACCTTGTGGGGACTAATTCATATTTCTTTTGCTGGTTGGCTTTAGTTGTTAGAGACAGCGGAGGTACACACCGGAGTGAATGGAATTACTGGGCTTTCATTAAGCAGACAGCTGGGCCGCAGTGAAGCCTCAAAGCAGCAGCAAAACACAGCCCACCCGCAACATGTCCTACCAAAATACTGCTGCGTTTCTGTATGAGAGCTCTATTGGGTTGTTAGGCTGCTGCAAAAACAAAACAAATTGATCAGTCTGTCAAGCACAGAATTGAGCTCTTCTGTGGTTATTTAAACTCCATTTTGTCTTTCATCAGGGCATGGATGGAACATTTCAGAGACTGGGTGCACGGGGGATTTGGGCTTAAGGATGCAACAAGGCTTTCAAACATCCTTGACATGGACTCATTACTTCATGCAAATGCCCTAAAAAAGCTGGGGGGAAAAATTTAAATTGATATTCGATATCCATTCTGGTCAAATACAGTAACTGTAATGGAATCGGTTTAAGTAAAGGTAACAGAGGAATGTGGGCCTTTGGTGATATGAGGGTTAGAGGAGAGGAAAAGGCCAGAGGAGGGTTCACCAGTCCGGTGGATTCCTCCTCAGCCAGCAGTGCCTGTCCATCTCACAGTGGCATTCCCTGGAGGAAGGCAGTAGCGGGGAAGGGGGGGGGGCTCAGGCTGTGCAGCTCCATGTGCTGCATCTTTCCCATTGCTCACAACTTCTACAACTGGAGCTGTAGGGCTGTGGGAGCTGCCAGGACTCTCATTGCTAAGGCATGACAACATGCAGGGATTGTACTCAGAGACAGCTTGGCTCTCTCAGCAGAACGGCTGCTGTCAGACACCACCGCTGCATTTACACCCTGTTTCTTCACCCGCATTTCTGTTCACCCCACTTATGCTCTCAGGGCTGAATACTAGACTACTCCTGAATAGATAAATGAATAAAACCTTGAGTATTGATAAGGTCCGGAGTTAGCGGTTCTGCTACCACTTAAGTTACGGAGTGAGTCCTCGTCTCAAACCTCTTCTCTCTGCTTTACACTAATTGTACGCACACACGCACGCATCATGGCAGAGGGAAGAAAAAGATCCAAAGTGTGGCTACATTCTATATTTCAGTAGATACTGAGAAGTCTCGTATCTCGTGTCACAAATGCAATAAAACCCTCACAAGTAAGTGAAGTAACATCAGCAGTTTATCACAACATTTGGCCAACAAGCAGAATATAAATGTGCAGAAATGTTCAGTTGTCTACTGTTTGTGGAGCAGCCGTCCATCCTCGTCCACTGCAGCAAGCGTTAGCAATATCATACAGACTTTGAGCATAACAACAGGCTACTCAATCACTTAGCTAATTGTATTGCTGCTCAAGAAACACTATTTGTTTACATACAATAATAATAATAAAGCTGTGTCACTTCTTTTCTTAATCAATTTTCTTTTTTTCCCCTCACTAAATAACCAAAAATAACCGATAAGAGTATCCGTAAGGAACCGAACCCATAAGCAGTATCGATAAGAGCACTAGTGTCGATAAAATCCTAAGGACACCCATCCCTAGTCCTGACCCAGACCACACCCTGGTATGATGAATACATCAGCTAACAGCACCGTCAAAGCCGTTATAGGAGAGTAATACTGTGAGGATCGATTATGATTAGGACTAAGGCTGAAACTAACAATTATTTTCATCATGGATTAATCTGCCGATGATTTTCTTGATTGATTTAATAAGCTTTTTGTTGGCAGGGCTATCGAGAGGAAGTCCCCATCACGGACACAGTGAAAGAGTGTGTGCCATGAACGGATCGGGGAGGTTTCACTTCAGACATTTCCTCGGAGGATGCTTGCTGGATATGGTATTGCATCATTAATGAATGAGACTGAAGATAACTGCTGCTCTGTAGAAAGCATGCCATCTCTGTTTAGCTAGCAAGCATGGTCGTTATCATTTGGCTGGCCGCAAGTGCAACCCTAGCACAACTACAGGCCATATCTCATTTCTGTTGAAAACATTTGTGTGCATATAATTCAAGCCCTGATCGGCTTTTTGCTGCTCCAAACTATCTTTATTATATCGGTGCTTTCAAACCTGACCTCCTTTGTGCTGTTGGGTTCATTTTGTCTCGGCTGGTGTGAAAGCTGTCAGTCAGACTGCTCAAACCGTCCCATCACCTTACACCCACCTACATCAGCCCCACATACCTTTTATGTTGTTGAGTATTTCCTTGAGATGGCCAAAGCTGTTCAGTAATGGGTCCTGTTCTTCATCCTGGGAAGAGAGAAAAACATAAGAACATGATGGGGGTTGAATTACATCTCAGACTGCTGTCTGTTCAATCTAGTTCATTACTTTAATGCTCAGCCTAAGGACGTATTGAGAGTGTTTGCTATAAAGCCAACAATTTATGATAATACCTACAGCACTTTGGTAAAGTGTAAAGTCTGATAGTCGGGATGAAACAGTTAACTTTCACTTCAAACTATAGCAGCTTCTGAAAATGTTGATGTAACAAAAAATAGTTTAAAAAAAAAAATGAGCAGCATCTCTTACTAAACAAACTCACTCCAGATTAGAGCCAGTGGATTTGACCTGGGACATGTATGCTTTTAGAGCACATACAGCTTTTCAAGAGTATAATTCAACTAACCTAATCAACTTAACATTAAATAAGCAACACTACAAACCTGGCAAATACACTATATGAAACCAAATAAACTTGATGCGTTTCATAACAGACAGCCTTCTATAGCCGGTGATTTCTTTACAAAGGAAACAGCACCTGAATCTTTCATGGGGAGCCCAGTGTCTGTCCCATAACCTGTTTAACCTCTCACTAAGTGTGTGGGACGGAGGGGACTAGGTAAGTAAGTAGTAGGGGTGTAACCATACATCCATCTGGATCTATATTCGATTCAATAATCGATGATCCAATATCATTGATGCAAAGTAATATCTATACATATCGTATTTTGAAAATCCCATATCACAGCTGTGTCACCAATGTCAATCCAACGTCCAACCTCCTTCCTACAGAGCCCAGAAATAAAAGTGTCAACTCATATTTCAGTCGCTTTTTGTGAGTTGATATCAAGATATAAAGTGATTGTGTTAAAAGTGAATATGATATCATCTCATATCTATCACAGCCCCCTGATTTGAACTGAAATTGTATCTTAGCAGATATATCTGCAAACACACATGAAGACAGGATCATTTCATCTCAGATATTAATACATTTGTGGTTAACATGAGTAAGTGTGTCGATGAAGTACCGGATTATGTTGAGAAACAAGCATTCTACAAGGGGTGTATTCAAATCCAAGCATACTCCTATCAAGACTATGTACAAACCCTGTGCTTTACAAACTCAGCTCAGCTTTCACATGCCAGGCATACAGTAGATGATACCAAGCCTAATTCATGCCTACACACTTAATGCATGATGATGAGGATGATGTCATGAGTCATGTCGAGAACTGTTGAACACTGAGTGGATCTTTAATCCATATTTCGAATTATTGCAACAAAGCGGACAGTCGATGCAAGACAGTGTTGTTTTTATCATTGTTGGCGAGATTTCCACTCCTGTTTCCTTTATTGACGTTTCCTGCCCCAATTGTCCCATTTTCAGCTACTTTGTCCCAATTTCTGTTGAACAACTAGTGGACATTGTGCTTTATTTGAAACCATCCTTGAGTCCAGTTGATGTCAAGCCCTATAAATTTGTATAAGAAGTTGGGATGTGGTTTCCTCCTTCTGCTCAATACAGTGAACACTAACCTTTCTACTGTCTGTGTCGCTGACTATTTCAAAACACCTGGCCTTGACCCTTACATCCACAATAACTACTGAGCAGTTTCCAAACTTCCATTCACTGCCAAATTCTTGGAAAATATGTTTAATGTCAACCTCTGGGAAACAAGTGTGTTTTTAAGAACTTTCAGTCAGGGTTTGGGGGAAATCACAGCACAGAAACTGCACCTTTCAGAGTCACAAATGATCTTTTAATGAATGCAGATACCGGAGATTGCTCCATTCTCATTTTACTAGACATAAGTGCAGCTTTTGACACAGTGGATTATGGAGTCTTGATTTATCTTGGTTGGTGTATCTGCTACAGCCTTGCAGTTGTTTTCAGCATATCTGTCAGATTGAAGCTTTTGTGTTTCAATTGCTGACAGTGGCTCGTCTTTAGCCCCGATACCATGTGGAGTGCCCCAGAGTTCAATCTTAGGACTGATCTTAAGTTCCCTGTATATGCTTCCCTCACCAACCTGTGCGCATCCTGAGGCGCTAAGAAAACCTGCTGGCTGTTCCTAAATCTAGACCTAAGACCAGAGGGGGTTGTGCCTTTGTTGTCCGGTCAACCAAGCTCAGCTAGGCGTTTCCTTTTAAAGCACTTCTCAAAGCTCATTTTTATCGGTTAGCCTATGACTCATTTGTGTGTCTTTTGAGTGAGTCATCCTCTGTTATATAAGCCGCACATATTGCACATTTGACACATATAGTTTTCTGAAAGTCTTTGGTTTTGTATAATGCATGGCACAATGAGGCAGGTCAAGATCCTTGATCATGAGTTATCAGCAGTATAAATCATGAGACCATGTTGCATACGAGGCTTCACAGGAAGCTGCTGCAAGACTTGAAAAGCCCTTAAACAAACTTCATGAATTTGTAACAGGTGGACTTCAATCAAGTTCTTGATACACGCATGAGTGATGATCAAAGGAAAATTAACATTTGAATGAGTTGTTTCTGTATTGGGATTGGACTTCATTTCTACGAATAGGAGGACAAAACAAAACAATTTTTACAACAACACCACAACAAAATTAGGAAAAATTGAAGCAACAAAAAACGACATGCTGTCCCTTCTACACCAGCGCTGATTAAAATATGTAATTGGATGACATAAGTAAACTACAAAGAGATGGAATGATTCAGCGATTAATGTGGCCTTTATATCAATGTAGTCCTGTGATTCTCACTGAAAACATTTCATCACAACATCAGAGTCATTATAAACTGAGTTATAAAGTAGCAGGTTGACGTTATTGTAAATCAAGTTGCCAAATTAAAATTAGTGACAAGATCAATTTGAAGTTAAGTTTTGCCATACCCGCAATATCTAAAGTAAATCTAATCTTAACTCCGGTAAAATGATCAAATACAATAACAATAAATATAACTTACCAGTGGAGTGTGGGTATTCCATCTGGAGTTTCTCTTGATCGCTCCAACAACGGTGCTGATCTCCCCCTGGACGATGTAGATATTCTTGTCCACCATGCTGCGTCTCTAAGAGAAGAAAAGAGGAGGGGATGCTTGGTTTGGCAGAAACCTACACAACTTATATTCCCTCTATATAACTGTACAGTTACAAAATCATCATGACAAGATATCATGATTCACAGTTGTCAGGTATAAAATGCATTGTTTTTTGAATATATTGTTTTATTAGTGTTTTTAATGTCTGTCACTCATCCATCTCACAAAACAGATACACTTCAGTTTGTTTTAAGCATTCAAATCACTCGCAGTCTATATGTTGTGAAATGGTAAATGGACTGTACTTGTATAGTTCTTTTCTAGTCTTCCCACCACTCAAAGCGCTTTAACACTACATGTTATCACCCATTCACACACTGATAGCAGGGGTTATCATGCAAGGTGCCACCTGCCCATCAGGACCCTAACCAATCCTACCGACATGGAGCCGGGGATCGAACCTCCGATCCTGTGATTGAAGGACAACCCTGCTCTACCACTGAGCCACAGTCGCCCACAATACATCTCTAATGACGGATCAAGGCTCCCAACTATGGGCATAATAAGAGCTACAGTGGGCAGAGGGGGCAATGGGATGATCCACTAAATAGGACGAATACCATTTTCTACTACATAAAAACTATTTTTGTGCATTGAATTTATTATATCAGTCAGCCTGGTAAATCTGCAGCTGTTGTTGTTGTTGTTTGACGCTGACAGTGTGAGAGTCAGAGTCCGTTTGGATGAAGGGATTGATGCTTCAGAAGCATTTACATGCCAGTGATGTCGGGTGTGAATTTCAGGTACAAAATGGCACGATGAATCATTACTACTACTTGACTCAAAGAACATGAGCTTATCTTTACATGTGACAAACATTAGAAAATATTTTTGTTTGGCAAATATCACACCATTATCATTGTAATATGTTTTTCCATGAAAATGACAATACTGATTTAAAAAATGATCATTCCCTCTAATATCGCAAATCATATGGCAACTGCAATATCAGTCAAAATAATAGCAATTAGATATATATTTTTTTTAACGTTTAGGTCTGGATTATTATCAGAAAATGTATTTTATTCAAAACTTGCATTATCCAGAAATCAAAATTCTAGCAAACATTACTATGGGGCAGATAATCTAAATATTTGAGAGTGGGTGCGTGAATCAATTATCCAACCAATAAATCAACAAATCAATGAATGAAACCTTTGAGTCAACCGTACACGCACATCAGCTATGTAGAACATATGAGGTACTTAATTAGCTTATAGGAAATACAGAATTTACAAGAGAGACTTGCTGGCTACTATGACTAATGTACTTCAGACCACTGAGCCATCAAGTAAAACCATCTGATATTGTTTCTCATGGCAAACATATTTGTCTAGGCTACAACAAGTCCTGTACATACACCGGAATGAATTTTAAGGTATGGATAAGCAATCATTTAGATGTAATATTCTGTGAAAATCTGCAAGAAGTATATGAAAATGAAGTCACCAAGCTTAAAGTCAAACTATCAACCTCAAATGGATATAGAATCTAACAACCAAACAGCACATTTTCATGTGTACCTTGACAATGCCTTCAACCAATAAGGATAACCAAACAAAATCAAAATGACATGCTGTTCATATTTGACAAGCAGTACACCTCAAAATGGTTGGATTAACCTTCTTCCTTGTGTCATGAAAGCCATGCCAGATAATACTTTTACTTTACAGGAAGATTTAAGAATGTAGAGACGAGGCGGCGGAGGCCACTTTCTTTAAGCAGCCTATTCAAAATACTAAGAGGATGGAGGTGTGACAGACGGAGGCCAGGACCTAGAGACATAGTGAGGTGAAAAGATGGTGATATACTGTATATGAGTCTTCACTAGGGATTACGTTTTTTAAACCACCCCTTCCAATCTGAATCAGCAATATTGAGTCCTGGTCTGATATTATATTTTCTAAAATAATACAGCTGCACAGTGCACACAGCAGTCACAGTAGACTCAGTAAAAACAAGTGAGTAGGTCAAATGTTGGAAAACTAGCCTAAATGGCCTGCGTCACAATTTACCTTTAATTGTTTAATATATGTTTTAAAATAACAAAAATAAATCTCTTTGTATAAAATAAATGCTGTCATTTAATTAGAATAAACATACAGTCGCTGTGTGTTATCTCACGACAGCTACTCTGTAGTAGGACACAATGAACAGGTTCTGCAGGGTTCCTTTGGGATGGTAAGACCATTGTGTTGTATGCCTGGCTATACAGAAAAAAAAAAGCTCATTCTCAAAATGTTTACCAATAAATACATTCTACTCATTCAAACCGTAGACAAAATACATGTCTCCCATTCCAGATCAGAAGCTTGTACTACGATTGAATGAAAGGTCAGGGGACTCAGGGCTCACTACTTTTCAGCAGCATCTATCTGTCTATCCAGATTTAAGTGTTTATGGAACAGTTCATTTTGGCAGGTAATGATTTCTACCATCTGTCTTTGCAAGAGCTTTTGTGATGACACCGACAGTCAGGCTGGTAGAACACATGACGACTACACGTTGTTGAGTAATCTCAAGACGTACTCTCTTCTCTTAGATATTAATGCTAACAACCAGCTGGTCAGCAGCTGGATACGACAACATTGTGCCTTTAACCCTTTAGAGATAACGATACAGAGACAATCTGGTGCCAGAGCTCCAGACATTTCAAACGTGAATGTAACATAGTTATAGGTACACTCTCAATGCATGTTATACAAGCGCAACACAATACAGTCAGACAACAAAGGCAAGTGGTACAGTTAAGTTAGTTAGCTGTCAGGTGAGCTAGGACGATGGTTTGTCGCTAGTTAGCTGATTAGATTAACTAAGTTAGCTAAGTCAGTGGCGTCTACTCAAAGGCAGAGCTAACAGGTTCGCTCTCCACCACACTACGAGGTTGAAAGACTGCTGAGTGATCTGGTACAAACACAAACAGAATAAGAGTACACATAACTACTTACGTTATCTAAATAATATCCATTTACGGACTGAATAGTTAACACATTGCAATATATTAGGGTTAGTTTTGCATATATTACCTGTCAAGAAACCTCACAGCTAACTGCTTAGCTAGCGTGTCAGCTGGCTAAGGATAGGTGTCTTCGGTGTTTGTCCTCTCAGACAACAGTCATGTATTTCCTTGATTTAAAAAAGAAAACGCCTGTTGACAAATATACAAGTAGGCATTTCTGCTTCTCTACAAATAAATCTATTACCTGTGTGGCTGCTATTCCAAAGATGGAGTCCTGCTGTAGCTAATGCTAGCCTAGTTAGGCAAGCTAGCAGGCTAGCCGGCCAACAGTGAATGAAGAAGACCAAAGTTCAATTCAGTACGACAACAGGACAAACTAAAAATGTCGGACATTCCACTGCGTGATAACTTAATATTTCCAAACTCCACTTATGTAATCACTATTCAATAGAATGCCTCATAAGTGAATAAATTGAACACCTTCCTGCAGCTGTCAATCTGGTCTTGGTAAACACACTGACGTGGAAAAGCTCTGCTGTCTCAACCTAGCTTGATGACAGCCTTTTGATAGACAGGCCCCCAAACTCATCGCTTTACGCGTAATATAGGACTTTAGAATACAAGAACATACCAGACAATTACATTTTTAGGTGTGTTCGCGTTTGTGCAATTTTTTTTATCATATAGACTCTTAGGGATTCTCCGAAAGGAAAATATCGCTATGCTACGAAGAAATAAGGGCGGGACAAAGGTAGCATGTTCGTTATGCCGGGTTGATGACGAAAGCACAGTCTGCAGCTCCATTGAAGAGACCAGTCGCACACTGACAGCTGGACTGCAACTTTCCCTTTCAGTATCCTTTCACAGGCCCCAGTACTATTAGTGGTTTCAATCATTTTACAACGATACGATATGATTTTTGGGGTCAATATTGTTTATTATATGTAGAGAGCAGATGCATGCAATTAGATTCTATCAGTTTATACAGCCTCTACACAGGTTACTATTGAAAATCTAAAGGAGTGGTAACATGAACATACCTCCCATTAGATGTATGAGCTTGGAGTTTTTTTCTTGACACACAGTATAGCGGTTGGCCAAAAGGGTGCAAGGAGTGGAGGATGAATTTGTCTCAAAATGATGTTTGAATTTTATTGATGATCAGTCAGTCAACTATTTTGGTAATTTATTTATAGTTTACTTTCAAGAATTGGGTTTTGGAGTGTTGGCCGAGTAAAACCGGCAACTTTATGGCATCACCCCAGGTTATAGAACTGTTTTTTAACTATAATTTGATATTCTGTAGATCAAACAATGAATCAATTTGTTGAGAAAAATAACCAACCATAATCATCAATGATGAATAGATAGAAAATAGTCATTAGTTGCAGCCCTATTTGGGTTAGACTACAAAACATTTAACATAACCTTGCACACTATGTGTAGGCCTGTTCACTGGCTGTATGAGTGGAAAATGAGATGTCTTGTTCATCTAAGTTACCAAACAAAATCAAACAACTCTAAGCGGCAACAGATTATTTGACATTAATAACCATTCTGTTGAGAAACACATTCCCAGGTGTCTCGAGAAGGTGGATTCACCATCCAAAACTGTCCCTTTTGCCCTGCATTGAATGGAGAAGACAGATGAGTTCTCGTTTTTTACAAGGATCTCTCTTGTTTTGTTCTTCGAAAGCCATTTCTTAACTGTAATGTGTATACATGCTTAAAGAATTTAAGGCTAACATTGAATTTTACAAAATATATCTAATACTTTCATATAACAAGACAATAAGACAGAATTGAAATCCTGGTTTCCTGTGTCACCGTGGGTTTTCTCCAGATCCTCCAGCTTCCTTACCCAGAGACATGCAGGTTAGGTTAATTAGGTTTATGGTTAACTCTCAAATTGTCCGTAGGTGTGAATGTGAGCGTAAATGTGAATGTGTCAGCCTCGTTGACTGATATCCTGTCCAGGACGTACCCCGCCTCTCAGCAGCTAGGATCGGCTCCAGGCCCCAGCGGCCCTGTAAAGGTAAAATGGTCACAGATGATGGATGGATGGTAGATGTTAAAAGACACAGGTTGAGAGGGAATACCACACATAAGGAACTATTTGGATGAAAAAAAATGTGTGCAATTATTTTCTGATTCAAGTTTAGTCCTTCAATACAAGCCTGTAGAAAAGGTTTGCCAAAAAACATTAACTCACACTTCTCAGACTCACAGACAGCTGATGTTGTCTGTTCCTGGGATTTCCAACTGGATGGCCAAGCATGGCACAAGGTTTGGTATAACAGAAAAGAATCACTATCAGATAATTCACATGAAAGACAACAAATTGCACTTACCGTACTCCTGAAATACATTATAAATATTGTGCCAGAAGTGTCACAAACTTGTTGACACTTATTTTGATTTAGTCCATTGGTCACATAGATTAAGAGATGCTGTGGTATTTAAGTAATAATGGATCCAAAACAATGTATTCTTGATGTTAGCTCCTTAATTGTGAAATTGCATGGTATCATGTTTTATGGTGCAGGCCTTTCCATCCTGCATATTTGTCTCATTATAACCATAGATTGTTCTTATGGGAGATTGGGCCTCACGCAGGAAGCAATATAAGAACACATTTCCTCTTGTTTTTGTTTGCATTCACGATGTGTTCTTATTTTGTTAGTACCCATTGATTTCTGAGACTCACCACCGTTTTCTTATTTTTGCTCTTCTCTTATGTAAGAGAAATATTGAGAGTGATTGAGAGCACTCTTACCAAATACAGAAAAAAACTTTTGTTGTCCCAATCCACAAATTATTTGTTTTACATTTTTGGAACCTAAAAAACGCATGAATGTCAGACTATCAAATTTAGATTATATGTTTAGGGTAATTATAAAGATTATAATATTAAATAGATACTATACCATATCCCAATTAGGACTACTAAACCAATGGATAATATTGTGTGTGTTCAGCCTCTGAATGGTTTAGCTCTTTGATGCTTTTGGGTTTTCCTGTAACACCAGAACTGACTGAAGTTTATTTAACAGAACCTTCATTTCACTACTGCTGAAGCTCTTCTTCTTCTTCTTACAGCCTTGGCAATGTGCCAGATTTTTTGCACTAGACACAACACCTGCCCTCATATACAGTAGTGTTTACTCAGCATTACCAACCGACCACACGCCTCCAATTTATGATCAAGTGGGATCATCATTCAGCACAGAGCTGGATGGTTAAGAGCGTTTGGTGCATCTGGAGTTAAGAGAATGTTGCTGCATGAGACCCATTGTCCAAGGAATTACAAAGAACCTCTTGGCAAGTATTTTGGTTGTGAGTGTAATGTTGTGTAGTACAATGAGCTTAATTATCTTAGTATCCCTATCATGCTTTGTTTATCTGTAAATGATGTATTTCTCCCCTCTGTTGCTGCTGATGTTGTGTCTTCAGGCTCCGTTTTGGATCAACCTTAGACAAATTGCAAAAAAACCAAACTATTGTGACTTGAGCGAATGACATTTTGAATTTCCCGGGTTCCACGAACACTTTTAGTACATCAAAGAGGATATAGGGTGCGATGCATGTCAATTGGCTTTTGCTGCAAATTTTGTGAGGTCAAGTTACATTATTACTGGACTATAAGGAATATGTCTACTTTGTATTTGTGTTTGTTTTTCGTAGTTTCTATGTTTATTGCTTCCTTGGTATGCTCTGTTAAGTCGTTTCAATAACAAAAAAGAAAGTAGGGGGAAAATTTACGGTCATGCATAAAAGAATTTTAGAGAATGTACCAATTTAACAGAGTGACCTGACAATCAGTCGCAGAACAATGGATGTATGTGTTTCCTCTATGTTTGGAGGAGAGCTCCAGGCACTGCTAAAATCCTCGAATCTCTCATCTGTCAGGGGAATCATAAGCAGCCATTTGCTCTGTGTTTAAAGCATATGAATCTATGAGCGTCAGACCTCTGTTTGCTCTTTGCAGAGTGTTTGATCACCTGTAGGATTTGTAATTGCAACATTTCATGAGCAAATATACGCATGTCATTTTCAACATGTAGATACAATACGTCTAAACCTCTGTGGCAATAAAAACATCCTTTACTTTGTTTGTCATGCACATGTTTTTGCAACGTTAAAACAAACATACGGTCATAGATTGATTTAATAGTCAGTGCCTAAAGAACCAGCTGTTTTCATCAAAGAAACAGCGTCTTTCTAAAAAATCATCTTTAATATCCATGAAGTTGTTTTGCATATCCTCATTTGGTCCACTATACTACATCCCTGTTCAGCTGCATATGAAACAGCTGGATGTCTCTTGATTACATTTCCTTCATCCAAGCTGAAAATATTTATGTGAGCTAGTGTCTCTGACGTGAGTCTGTACATCATTAATTACAGACATGAGAATAAGAGCAATGAGATTCTTTTAATTCTGATCATCTCATTTATCTAAAATCCTTAGCATAAAACACCCAAAATGATACATTTGCACCACTTTGCAGGCTCCAGATGAGGGTTCTATGCTTCAGTGAGTGATGCTTCTGTTATGTTGTGTGTCTGCTTTGCCTTGTAATGTAAGTTCATAAATCTGTCCTGTTTTCTGGTAAGAAGGCAAAGAATCAGCATTTTGGCATTTATGAAACATACAAACATAAACTTAAACAATGTCATATGCCTTGTGTTGCAAAATGATTGTGACATATTTGCCGAGTATATTCTTGTTTGAAAGATGTGGAACTGATAAATTGAGGCTTGTTTATCACAAGTTCCAACATTCTTGGATATTCTTTGGAGCCCTTCTTGAGGCCTGAGGGCAAATTCATGGCTATGAAATGTGTAAAAGACAGGATATGATAACAGTCTATCCTATCACCAATCAGTAGGAGTGTTTTCCCCATTCAATATTACCATTTCAATCTTTTCTTCCGAAGATATCCTAAATGTTACTGGACATTTAACACAGGACCCTCCTGTTTAATGTCAATAATGTGTCCCATAGGTTTATGTTGTGGCCAGTTGGGAACAAAACATGGCAACATAATTGCTAAATGTATCCACAGTAAACTCTGAAATCAAAAGTAAATTTAAAGAAAACTTGCCAAGCTGCCAAAGTCCAAACTGCAGAAGTGCTCTAACTGGGAGTCATTTACTATTGTCTATAGGACAAATACATTTGACTTTTACCTCTGGAACCTGGAAACCATAAATGTATCTCCAGCTATTGCCATACATTTTTACACACGTCTTCCTGAGAGCGTTAAACAAAAGAGAGAGAGAGACAGAGATTGCTATTTAATGAGCTTTAAAAAAGTTAGCTCAGGATAGCGGTTTCTATTTTGCTAAATCCCGCCCTTGGACGCAAACTGGCCAATCATAGCGTGCCACCAGCCAGCTCTGACCAGGGTCTGACTACTACACAGCTCTGCTCCAGAAACTCTTATCAATGGTTTCAGAGTTCAGACTCCAGAGTTGGAACTAATGGTGAAACGTTGTGTATTAGTGATACTCGTTACACAGAAAGGT